CGAGGATTAGTACATACATCTCATGGTTGAGTTGACATACCTTGTAAGACACTAAACACCTCAGTGTTAGACCTGATCTTCATGATAACTAACAATAATGGAAATTGATCTGTTCTAAATTCTCTCACCGTTGTGGCAGCTACACTACCAAAATGATTGGTACACCAGTTTAATAATCTGTGGGATTAAACAATAAAGGTTAATATCACAATGAGATATCAGGAAACCTTGATCATCAGGCAAAATTATCACTGCTGCTATAATTCACTTAATATTATTCTTTATGAACTGGATACTACTTTTGCGGCCTGAAGTCGTTCAACAGAAATGCCAGAGCTTGCAAAGGTGCGTAAGCTGTATGACACCTTATTGGTGTAATTACAGTTTTACCACGGTGTGACCTCAAAGACACCAGGTAATTTACGCGTTTTGTTTTGAATGATGAAAGCTGGACATGCTGGGCCAGGTGTGGTACAGGAAATTATTGCCTTGATGTGAGGGCGCACTTCCCAAAGCGTTACAAGGCAATACAAGGTATATGATAAGGAAAACGTTTCCATTAAGTCAGATCAAGTCATGACCCCATTGTTTCTTCCTAAATGCATTTTTTTAATTAATTTTAATTTCATGCATCAATGTCTCATGATGTCTAATGTCCACAACCAACATCTGGTTTTGAAATGAAAGAAGTGTTTGATTTTGCTGAAAATGGCATTCAACAAACTTGAAACAGATCATAAAACGAATAAATGTAATCCCAAGATCTTGTCCCGAAATAGCAGTGAGTTATGGGTGCAAAAATAGCTATCCATCATTCTGCCATCTTGAATACATTTATATTATTTATATACTAGTTTTTATGGATGACTGAAATTAGAATATTTTTGCCGATGGTTGTAAAATAAACTTTTAAAGAGCACTTACTTAGCTTTGTTTTCATCACCTGTAATGTCCCATGCCCACGTTACAAAATTTTGACTAAGATATGATACAACTGTCTCTGCACACATGACTTGACTACAAAAAACATTGCTCTGAACACTTTTCTCATGATGGATGTATACAGCTAAAAGCTTCCGCTGCAAGAAACAAATAAAAATCTCAAATGAAAAAAGCAGAAGGGTGTCTTACTTTCCAATTCTGTCATATATTAGTGGGTTGGTTATTTGTTTACTGACAAATTTAGACCAGGGCCCATTACTGTCTTCTGTTCAGGAACTTGACAAGCAATCAGGCAAAATATGATTAGAATAAATAATAGTTATACAGGACAAATACCGTATTTGCTCTAACTTGAAGCACATATAAACCAAATAATAAATTTGTTGTATGCTGGATAATTATGACTTACTTTGACCAAAGATACACCTTTACATTTACATGTGCTACTAACAGACCAAATATGGTATCTGAAATTAATACAAAACCAACAAAAATAGGCATGCCTTGTGTCCTAAGAGTGACAACACACCAAAACCCAATTCCACCCACCCATGAGTTAATGCTCACTTCTCATGAAAACATACTAGCGTAGGTAAATGTTATGCATTCAGTAGTTACTTACATCCTTAGCTGATCCACTAAACGCTTCTCGAAAAGCACCTTCTATAGGTCCTAAATAGAACATTGGATGGGTTTCACTGTACCTATTAGTAAATTCTCTAGAAAAATGGACCAATGCATCTGTTATGTCGTCAACTTGGGTAGGTACTGATGAAAGAGATGAGAAAACATAATTATGATTGTTTTAGTAAGAGCTGGACCAATGTTCAAGTTGATTTCCCTTGATTTCTCTCCATTTTTCCATTTTCTGGCAGTGCAGTGGGTACTTAGGGTCTAAATATAGTACAATTAACACAGAAATCGTGTCTTATATTCAGGACTACAATAACAATGTGACCATAACTTCAATGTACTATCCCAGCTTCAAATAAGTTACAAATTAAGCTACACAACTCTTCATTGGAGTGCATTTGAGACCAAATATAAGCAATCATATTGATACATATTGATATTGAAAGATTTGTTTGAACGGTAAAAAAATTCCTAATTCAACCATTCATGCAAATAATGTACTTACAAAGAGGTTCAAATTTCCGACTAGGCTCATCGTCAACAAAAATGTGATCATCAAAAGACATACTAGCATCTTCAAAGAGGTCTTCATCAGAGTCACTCGCAGCATCTACAGCTAACTGCTGGCATGAACAAAGTCAAATTATAGAAACAATCTTTGGTTTGGAAAAAGAGAAAACTGCAAACAATGCTTTGTAGCAAAATTAATGAAAGAAGTGAGATCATATGTGGCAAGTATGTTGTAATGAATGGCAGCATAGTAAAAATCTGAACTTATTATCTACAAGTCTGGATATAGTAAATTTACAATGTTTACAAAGTGTTATTTTTGTAATATACCAAATTAGCTATGCACAATTGCGCATGTTGACTCAGGATAAAAACTTCTTTATCCCCAACACCAAACTAAAGATAAAGTTTTTTATCTTACAATGAACTTGTTATGTCGCCCCTAATCTATGTCTAAGTTTAAAATTCATTTTCATCAAGAAAATTGTTTTGGAGAATCATATTTTGAAAACCCAATCCAATCTTCACCAAATTTGAATACAACTTATACAAATGTATGTGGTAAGATAAAAGAATATCAATATGAATGGCACATATAACTATAGATCATACAGTGACTGTAATGGGAAGATTGCTTACATTTACTGGCAGTGCTTGCTGTGTGGGTGAGAACTGTCTATCAACTGATAGCTTATGACAAGGATAACCTATACCAGTAGCTGCTATGGTAAGCTGTAATAAAGACATGAGATAGATACTGTTAAATATGTTGAAAAAGCGACATGCAATTTTAGTGTGATCACTGGATTACTGTATACAAATCCCCAAGCGTTGGCTATTTTGAATTTATAATAAAGTCATTAGCGACATCTTGATTTAGCGAATCAGTTCTCTAAAAAGACATGTTTTACAGTAATCAATGACATATTGTACACCAAGGCTCTCTATTAAAGTATTGTTAACAGCGATAGTACACTGTTTTGTACAACATTTCAATAAATGTTATGAAAGACAAACTAACTTTTTAATATTATCACAAGAATAACCACACATTATTATAAATCTGGCAACTAAAACAATAGATGTGCTTAATGTAGCATTAATATATGATTATGTAGGCAGTATGCTGATGTGATATTCTTGTATTATAACATGGTTTGTCTGAATCACGAATCAAGATCACACAATGAGCACTGTTCATGGTGATTGTGGGTGTATGATCAACTGATCAAAACAAGAAAATCTGGTACAAGCACACATAGCAACGCAATAAAAACAGCTATTTTATAGCGTATTTCTTGAGCGAGCATGTTCTAATGAGGTGATAAACAGTACATTCTGGTATTTGGTAGTGGATATAAAACATTTTAGCGTGCCATAATTTTGCAGTATTTTACAGGGTATTTTCATCCTACAATATTAGGAAATGCGAATTCCAAATATGGAATGATTACGTACGTAAGCGTCCTCTAATAATAGAAACAAACATGTCTGCCACCAGGGTATGACCGGACTGTATACAAAGAAGTTCGCTAATTCTATTCTAAACTTTTTGGATTTCCGCATTCTCATGGTGTATCCTTGGGAGGAAAAGATGTATAATAATAAGGTTATTACGAGAATACCTCGAGGTACTGTCTTCGAGCATACTTTGAGGTATTCTCGTAATAACCTCATTTTATTATACAAAGTTATGTACTTACTGTATCGTCATCTGCTGTACCCGGCCAACCAGTCCATACTTGCTGTCTATTTGGTATACTAGTTAGAACATATATGTCTTGTTTAACTTCTTGTATGCAACGCGACCCTATGTAATTTAACTCTAACTCTTTTCCACTGACTCGATTCAAAATCATTAATTTGAATGTCTGACCTAGCCGTTCTAGAAACTCAGGACTGTAAAGAAAAATTACATACATGATGGTTTTATTTGTCCGACATATACTTGCCTCTGTCAAAAAATGTACAACTCGTGTATTTCCAATCTAAACATTTTGTCACTGTGACCAACAGAAACAAATCAGAAATAAATAAATAAATAAATAAAAAGCAAATAAGTAAAATTCAATGAGACTTACCTCTCACCGTTAGGTTGCTGAGACCTTGTCAATGCTGGGTTATTAATCTCTGGTGTCAATAAAAATAGTCTATTTTCTTTTGGTAAATGAAGTGTGGACAAAACAACCTGATGAAGAGACAAGTGAAAACATTCTTTATTTCCATACTTTTATAAGTCATACTCACGCTTAGTGCGTTGTTAATGTAGGTACATGTATGTATTATGATATTTTTGATTTCACAGAAGCTGGTTTGTACAGTCTTCAAAAATGTGTCTAAAATGGCTTGTGTTTACCATGTAATGATTTGAC